CTATGGACTTGGCCTTCTCTCCCCACCCTTCCCCCACCCCTCCTCCTGGATCTGTTTGCTAAGTTGAGGTCAGTCTCCTCCATGAGACTGAAAGTGCCATGAGCCCGAAAGTGCCAGGAGCCCATGGGTGTTGCATTGTTTCTATCCTGGCTGTGAACAAAGCCTAGGGCTATGGTAGGGGGTGTGTGTGCCCCGGGAGGGGGGGGCGAGTACCTGCTAAGACCCCTGCAGCCTCCTGTGTCAGAGGGGCTGGATTGGAGGGACAGGCGTTAACAGATTTCTTCTTGAGTGAAAGACTGTGCTGTGCAGTGTGACTCCCCCCTAGACCTTGAAAACCTTCAGTGACAGTATAAAAATCACAAGATGCTTGTGTTTTGGGATATACTATAGAAGCCAAAACACAATCTGTAATATACAAGTAATGGCAGCTCTGTCGCCTTTTCCCTCATCCTTCAACTCATTTCGTTTTCATTTCTTGTCTTAGGATCTTGACTTAGATTTTAGTTGGTCCAGTCCCACTCTTCGTCTTTGCATCTGCTTAGTGTACGTTGCCTAAATCTTTTCTTCCCTCCACCTTTCGTTACTATTTTGTTTTAGGAGAATCTATTGGAAAATGTATGGCATATGCTATTTCAAAACTTATTTTAAAAAGTGTCCTCAAATTTATTTTCTCCATCGTTATCGGGAATGAAACACTATTTACTGAAGGTGAGAAACATAAGGACATTTTTAGATTCTTTGCCATGATTTTGTTGGTATAATCAAGGGTTTTAGATCGATTTTGTTCACTTATTTCATCTTTCAAGATTTATCAATATCAATAGTTATTTGGAGGTTAACTCTGCTTTGCATTGGTTTCATGGCTCCCTGCACTTTTCCCCCTCTGAGGGGAAGGTGATAAATATTTTAGCCCCATCCCCCCACTGCTCCAGTGATTCAGCCAACCCACAGCACGCCCCTCACTGCTAGGATTTTCAGTGGGTCGAGCAGAAGTCATTAAACATCAAGAGAAACCCATGCTCGGAGCTGTCCTCTGCCCCGTCCCTGTCCTTGCTGCCATAATGTGGCATGGGCACCGCCGATTTTGGCATGCTGACTCTCAACCTTCTTGAATTTTTCTGTTGGTTCCAACAGAAAATACGCTTGGGTCATCTAGTTGCGGTGACTGTGTAGGAACTGGGGTGTCAGGGGCAGGGATGCCCCAGATTTCTGGAGCAGCTGCTCACGACCCCTCTCCCGGGCACTGGGGACAGTGTTTCTAGGACAAGTCCCGTGACGGGGCGGGGTTGCGGAGGCCCCTGGCAGAATCTCCCTCCTGGTTTCTCTTGGTGCCTGTCAGGCGTGGGTGTGAGGGTGCAGTTTTTTTGGCTG